GAAGCACACCGGGCAACGAACCCCGCTGTTGCTTTGCCTCGGGCACTCTGTGCTGGCAACAAGACCTTTAGCTATTGACACTCACATTAAAAAAAATGGGAGTACTTGTGGCACCTTAGAGACTAACAAATTTATTTGAGCATAAGCTTTCGTGGGCTACAGCCCACTTCATCAGATGCATAGAATGGAACATATAGTAAGAAATATATATACATACAGAGAACATGCAAACTAGATACCATTAACTTGAGTTTGAATAGAGACTGGGAGTGGCTGGGTCATTACACATATTGAATCTATTTCCCCATGTTAAGTATCCTCACACCTTCTTGTCAGCTATCTAAAATGGGCCATCTTGATTATCGCTACAAAAGGTTTTTTTCTCCTGCTGATAATAGCTCATCTTAATTAATTAGCCTCTTACAGTTGGTATGGCTACTTCCACCTTTTCATGTTCTCTGTATGTATATATATTTCCTACTATATGTTCCATTCTGTGCATCTGATGAAAAGGGCTGTAGCCCACGAAAGCTTATGCTCAAATAAATTTGTTAGTCTCTAAGGTGCCACAAGTACTCCTGTTCTTTTTGTGGATACAGACTAACATGGCTGTTACTCTGAAACCTGTCATTAAAAAAATGCATTGAGATTTCCAGCAGAATAATTATACACATGTACATTCAGTGATTAATGAGCCTTTTGAGCAGAGATAAAACCACCAATTCGTACCTTGTGAGTTTCATATCAAGGCCAACAACCCTGCATAAAAACAACAGGCAAAATTCTGCACTGACATTACAAACCGTGCAATACCATAGACGTCTCTGGAGTTGAATTTGGTATAAGCCAGTGCAGGATTTAAAGTTACCTTTATCCTTATGTCGTCCTTACGTTATGAAGCGGCTGGTTGGCCTTCTTGCTGCTTTTTGAGTGAACCTGCTCAGATAAAGAAGGTATCAATCTCCTCTAGGTACCGTTGTCCCAAACTCTAAAGGAACCCCAACCTTCTTTACAAGTTTTTAAAGGTCATGTAAGTTTGATTTTTGTTGTTGTTTTGGGGCCAGATCCTTATCTGGTGTAAGTAAGCGAAGTCAGTGGTGTCCTCCCTATTTAAGCTGAAGCTCTGGCCCTGTGTGTTTAAATGGTCATGAACGTCTGCATTTCCTAATTTCAAACTACACCAGAAACAGAGACTGAAATACCACAAGAAAGATTAGTCTTCAAATATTTAAAACACAGTGAAAGCTAGAATCTACTGGAAATGTTATGAGAATTTGTTTTTCATGAGACTCCAGCCCAATTTCCACACCGAAGATGTTCAGATAAGCTTAGGCATGTGACTGAACCTGTAAACCTTTTGAAGTTTGCCCATTACTATCATTTTACCAGTGTACTGCTGGCTTCTGTCACACTGAATTCACTTTTGCAGAACTACTCATCCCTGAGAAACAGCAAGAAAATGATAGGAAATTTGAGTCCAAAATAGAAGCTGGGGTAGTGTTTACAGACAGAACAGCCTAATAGAGAAATAGGACAACAGATTCAAGGGCAGGTCTCTCTAAATTGGGACATTTGATAAATATGGTGATAAATATGTGCCATTATTAAATCAGCTAAACTATAGTGTATTATATTGTAACTCACCTTACACAGAACTATAGCAGTACATTTCTCTATTTTATATAATTAAAGGAAGATCTTGTAGCTAGAGTCTAGGCCTTGGAGTCAGAGCTGGGTTCTAGCCCTGGCCCAGACACAGACTGCCTGTGTTATCTTTAGAGCCCTGTGCGGATGCAAATTTATACCCATGGATGCAGATATTGGCGAATATAAATTGGTATCCACGGATAGACCCAAGCCCTGTCCTCTGGCGCAGCTTTACAGACCCAAGACAGTCATGTAGACAGCTGCATGGAAGGGCTGGGGGTGGTACAGCTGTGCCAGAGGTGCTGCTGGCACAGGGCTCTGGCTCCCGGAAGCGGCGGCCCCATGTTCTGCTCTTTCGCCATTGTGGTTCCCGGGAGACCTCTGCGGTTCCACAGATACCGACTTATATCCGCGGCTATACACATCCGCAGATATCAATTTGTATCCATGCAGGGCTCTTGTTATCTTAAGCAGGGCACTTTACCTCTCTGTGCCCAAGGTTCTCCCCCGTCCACCTAAAATTTATTAATAATGCTTCCCTAACTCACAGCAGTGTTGTGAGGCTTTATTCTTTCATATTTGTAAAGCACCTTGAGGTCCTCTTGGATGAAAGGTGTTAGGTAAGGAATAGAAGAGAAAAAGGCTTATTAGTGCCCTCCCACTCACTGTGGTACTTAGAAAGCACCCTTTTAACTTTTTGGAATTTTGGAGATGGGGAATGGATAGAATTATCATCTTTTCCTTTGTAATTGTGACATGACAAACTGGCTGGGTACACTACAGAGATGAGTTGTTAACATCATTGCTAGGTTGGGCAGCTTGGCTACTGTCTGAACTGGAGATATGGGAAGCCTAAGTTTGAGACCGAGGGCATACTGGCTATGTTTTGTGAGTGGTGGTGTTCTACAGTAGCAGCAGATAATCCATACGGTTTCCCTCCGAATTAAAACATTAGTGATTCTTATGAAATCTGCACCAGTAATATAAGGGGAGTACAGTGACAAACATGCAAACCACAGAATTCATACATCCAGCTACGGAAAAAAGCAGGACATGAATCAACTTCACCACAGAAAAACTGCATGTAAATACACACAGTGAATCAACCTATAAAAATTAGAGGCAAATGACTGCCACTGTCTCCTTACATAGAATAAGGTAGAGTTTTCTCTCCCAGGAGTAGTGGTTAGGTTACTTCTTAATGCTGATGGTCTACACACACACACACTCTCTCTCTCTTTGGGAACTGTTACTGAGAAGATTGTGGCAAGCTGCTCTTGGTGTTATTTGGGGTTCTTTGATTCATTTCCGTCCAGCTTTAGTTCTGGGTATGGTATGGAGACACCTTGGGGTAACTGATCAAACTGGTGCTGGACAAAAGTCAAATTTGATTCTTTTAACTTTGTCAGCAGCCTTTGATACCACTGAGGTTAAGATTTTTTGGATTCATTTGTGAACCCTGGAAGGGTTTAATGGAGTTGTTTAAGTGATTCGCTTCCTTTCCTTCAGATGAACCCCAGAGGGTAGTTCTGGGCAATTTCTCATCTGTACAGGGGGCTGTTTCTAGAGGAAGTGCTGCATTGTCCCATTAATTCAGTCCTCCTGGTCAATACATATACGAAGCCACTGGGGAGATCAGAGTGCAATAGCACTAATATGCTTTATTGACACTTATCTCTATTATTATTAATTAGAAATCATTTGTGTTACAGTGGCATCCACAGTGCTAGGCACTGTGCACAGATAAAAGAATACACAGTCCCTGCCCCTAAGATATTACAAGCTAAAAAGACACACAGACAAAGGGTAGGAGAGAGGCATTAAGCACCCAGAGTCCTAAGGGTTCCACCACTACTATTATTGAACAGGCTAATTTGTTGTAGGTGTTGCAATTGAAATGGGTCTTGAGAAGTGACTTGAGCCTAGCTCTGAAGACCCTGCTGAAAGTTGGCTCTGAATCCAGGCCTTGTATGTCAGGCCGTTCTCTACTAAAGAGGAAAAGCCTGTTCCCGCTGTTCTGACTGAAGGAATACCAACACTTGGTTACTAATCTATAACTATTAAAAAATATTTACAATTTCTTGTGAGATCTCACACTGGGCCATGGATACTGTCAGTCACTGTTTCCATCACAAGAACTCATTGGTGAGAGGAGGATGAAGGGTAACTGTCTCATTTCCTAATGGCACTATCTGAGTGGCACAGCAAGGTTCTGTGTTTACTGTTTCACAGTGATCCCAAATTGTGTGCTCTATTTCACAAGCAAAAGGTTATTTCTCCTCACCCCACCAGTCCTGACAGCTCAACCTGAGCTCTGAGAATCAGCATGGATTTTGGCTTCTCTCACATTACCACCAGTATTAAAGATTTTGCGGGCCAAGTTCTGCCCTTGGTTACTCCGGTGTAACCCCTTTGTCTATTGATAATGTGCAAGCTACAATGGAATCCAGCTCACTCTACCATAATCTACAGTCCTAATAGCAGTAAGATGTTTCAACGGTATTATTTTGGTCAAAGTCTGCAGACTCTGTGCATACATGGAGTTCAGACCTGATCTAAAATATATTGACATGAATAGGAGTCTTACCATTGACTTCAATGGGCTTTCAACCAGGCACCTGTTAAGTAAGAGGACATTATTATTACCTAATTGTTTTACAAGCAGCCTGAATTTTAACATTTCTCCACTTTGAATTGAATGCGGGCAGGGGACTGGACTTGATGACCTCTCGAGGTCCCTTCCAGTCCTAGAATCTATGAATCTATGAATTGGCCCCTTACACAGCATCCCACACAAAACTCACTCCTTGCTGCCAATGTCTGTGCAGTATATGTGCCACCAGTCAATTTCTCCCAAAGCTACTCCTGGCTGCACACTGCATTGTTTTCACTCATCCTCAGCAGCGGAGTTGGACATTTTACAGTGGAGCGATGAAACAGAATGGCTGCTAGGGAAACAAAAACCCTTCGATCACGCAGCAGTGCAGAGCTCGAGATATGTAAAATCAGGCTGGGAGGAGGGTGAGGGATCTATAAAAATAGCTTTGAAGGGCCCTACAGACTGAAAATTGCCCATGACTCATGAGGGACCCCCTCTGTCAGTGACAGCGATGGTTTCTTTGCCCTGTAAAAGAGATCCCCATCCTCCTGAAAAGTGCAAACGTCCATTTCTGTAAATTGCAACTTGATAGTCTGTCACCTGATGTGACACTGGGGGCACAACTAGTATTACTTCAATGCAATCACAGGGTGGAAAAGTTAATAAAATATATGTCACCCAGAAACCAATTGTACCTGCAGGGTAAGAAAAGGTCATGCATGAATGCCTGAAAACTGGACATGCAGCATAAAGTGTTGATTGAAACCTGTTCTACCCTTATATATGACCAGTTTGAGAGTAAACAGTGCCAGCACTCAAGGAGAAGTAAGTGTTGTTTTTTAGATTAATAAACTTGGCTAACTTTTCTTCATTATTCTCCTAGAAACCACTGACTGCCTGGCTAACTTTTCAGACAGATCAGTTGCTCCTTCTCCCTTGCTATGAATTAAAAATGTTCCCTTTGGTAGTTTTTAAAAGAAAGAAAGTAATAGAAACTGCTGGATTTTTCAAACTGTGAAACCACAGAGAATTTGGGAATCGGCTCTCTGAATTTCAAAACAAATATTATTAAGCTCTGGCAATATGGTCAATTTGTTCCGTAAATGTAAAAAATACAACTATAATGCAATTTGATTTCAATAAAGTGCTTTCCTACAAAGTGTATCAAACGTTTTACCGGATTAAAGATGACAATATTGTAAACAGTGCTCACAGTACCGGGTGGTATATCACACTCAGGAGAAAGATATGTAAATATAGTTTATGATGAAAAAGATGAAGTATTCATAAGGCCAACAAATGAGATGGGAATATCTAGATTATTATACTAATGCCCATCACTGAATACCCATAATATCATGGGAGAAAAGATGCTTTCAAACGAAGATTTAAGTAGAGCGGATCAAGGGAACTTTGATGGAACTGTATTCATCAAAACCAAAATGCTTCACAAAATCAGGTTGATTTTGCTGAAATTTCATTTTGGAAAAAGACCAGGAAAAACATTCCAATGACATTGAAACATTGTATTCTGACACAACATGTTTCAGTTTTTCATGTTGAAATGGTTTAATTTTTTTTAAAAAGTTGTATATTATAATACAAAATAAAGTCAAAATTGAAACAAAATGGTTTGAATGACCCAAATCAAAAAAACAATTTAAATTTTTTCCTTTGCAGAGAATTTTGAAATATGTGTTTTTTTCCATTTCTGTTTTGAACAAGGCCAAATTTCAAAATCTCAAAATTCTTCACAAAACAGAACTTCTATCCTCTGCATGGCTCTAGATTTAAGTCAGATGGAGAACAAATGGGGCACAAGGTAAGGTGCTCCAGATCATAAAAACTACTGAGAAGATTTTTGTACTAACACTAGTACTAACACTAGTGCCATTGTAGAAAGGCACAGAGAGGTCTATGATTGAAATATGACCATTTACATCAATTATATTGCCACTTTTACACAGTTGCAACAAATCTTGTACAAAGCATGCCATGTAAGGTGTCAATGGAAAAGTTATGATATGCTAAATATGATTATCCTGTTTATATGCACGTTTCATAAGTTCTGAATATTGGCCATATACCTGATTCACCATTGTGTTTGTTCCTGGGGTAACACCCATAAGGTAGGGTACCTCCAGTCTAGCCAGCACATTGTGCTGATTGCTTGATTGCCCATTAAAGACACTTCAATCTCACTATCGGCCATAGAAGAAATTCATTCCACCCAAATAAGTCTTTCTGTGGACAGCTTACCACAGATATGGCCAATGGCTGTCCCTATGAGCCAGCGAGCCATGTAATGGTATGTGACATGCTCACGTGACCCTGGACTCCATCTTGTGCCAGTAATTTTCCACAAATTGTGCTGTGAGCTTTGTTGGAAACAGAAAATTTCCAGGCACATGGCAAAGGGTATTAAGACCCCTGGAATGACACTATTTTGCCTCTTTCCTGCTCTGATTCTCTGGACTGTGCATTTATACAACTAAAAAGAGCATTTGAATTATGGACTGAGGACCTTTCAGTCTTTTGGAAATTACCAGAGATTTTACAATCCAGCAGTCTATAACAACACTGCTTCAAACCTGATATAAGACCATTGCAATTACTGTAAGTATGTGATCTATTAACCATTTTAACTCTCGTCTTTATTAATAACTCTTTAGATTTTAGTTACTAAAGAATTGGCAGCAGTGTGAGTATTGGGTAAGAGTTGAGTTATATACTAACCTGGCTATGTGTCTGATCTCTTGAGATCAGAAGAACTCTGGTTGACAAAAGTGGTGTTCAATAATCACTCAAAGTCTAGTGTCTTGGTTGTGCAATAACCTCTCAGATGCCTAAAGAGGCTTCATTTTTGACTTCTTGTTAACCAGTGTGGTGAGACAGATGTTTACTTTTGTTACTGGCTTGGTATATCTAATGACAGAATAAACACCAGTTTGGGGTGAGTCTGCCCTACATCTTTAGCTGTGACTCACTGTGGCACAGTGACAGTAACTGCACACTTAATTATTTGTATTCAGTAGTGCCTAGAGTCTCCAGCTGAGACATGACTATTTTGCAAACTGATGACAAGACACATAAGAAACAGTCACTGTCTCACAGGGCTTGCAATCTAAATTGACAAAACAGAAAGGAAGGTTTTACAGATGGTGAACTGAGGGCTTGTCTACACTTAAAACACTGTAGCAGTGCAGCTGTGCCACCGTAGCCCTTCGATGAAGATGCTCTCTACCCCAATGGGAGGGGTTCTCCCATCGGCATAGATACTCCACCTCCCTGAGAGGCGGTAGCTAGGTTGACAGGAGAAATCTACCTAGTTTCCTAGTGTAACCCAGGCCTCATGCACAGTAACTCTAAGGCTCAGATCCACAAAGGAACTTAGCTTTTGCAACACTGAGCATCATAGTGGCTCACTTTTAGGTGGCTGGAACAACCCTGTGATCCATTAGTTAGGCACTTGGGATCCATATTCAGTGAATGGGGAGAGAGGTGCCTTAGAATGTGATCCATTAAAGCCAGCACACCGTACAGCCTCCTCACCTAGCCAATGGGAGATGCTGACAACAGGAGAGCGTTCCCATCCCTCTCTCAGAGATAGGGACCTAAGTGCGGGCTGCAAGGAGGCACCTCTTTCTCATGGTGATCCATGACCGTGAACCTGCCACCTGACTCCAGGCAGCTTAGGGAACCTAAGGTATGGCTTGCAGGAATAAGTTAGATGCCGTTTTCGCTCCACATAAACTGGCCAGAGAAGGAGTGGGTGAGGCCCACCTTACAACTCTTACCCCTGTGATCAGGGCCCTCAGCTGGGCAGTGGGGGATCCAGGTTCAATTTCCCCCTCTGTCCCACCTCTCAGGAGAGTGCTGTAACCACAAAGCTATTGGATATTCTGATGTGGCATACCCTCAGTCTCTCCCATTGAAGCTGTTCCACTGTGGATAAACAATCAGAGTGACTGGAGCAGGGGGAATGGACCCAGAGTTCCCCCATCCCATTGGAGCACAGCATCATTAATGGTCTTCCTCCCTCCCAATGACACTTTAAGTATTTGATAAGCCAGACCGAAAGCATTTTAAATATCGGCAAAGAGTTGGGGAAGAGGAAATAGAACTGGCTGACATTTTTCGGATGAAGAAGAACAGGAGTACTTGTGGCACCTTAGAGACTAACAAATTTATTAGAGCATAAACTTTCGTGGACTAAAGCCCACTTCTTCGGATGCATATAGAATAGAACATATATTGAGATATATATACACACACAGAGAGCATAAACAGGTGGGAGTTGTCTTACCAACTCTGAGAGGCCAATTAATTAAGAGAAAAAAAACTTTTGAAGTGATAATCAAGATAGCCCAGTACAGACAGTTTGATAAGAAGTGTGAGCATACTTACAAGGGGAGATAGATTCAATAAATACCACCCTATACCGGAAACCTACTGACCGCTACACTTACCTACATGCCTCCAG